CACAACAAAATCAATTCCTAACACAAACAAATCATTCAAAATTCTAAACTTTTAAATTAAATCATAAACTAACACAAGCTTTCAAAATCCTAAACTAGATCATCAATTTCATTCACTAACTACTATCCAACAATACAATTAAAATAAAATTATTCAAAATCCTAATCTTACCTAAAAGTAATTCTTCATTAACTTTTACATTCATCCAAAATGCAATAATAAAATAACAACGGTCCAGATTTTAAAAAATAAAAAACAAAATAAAATTCTAAGACCCGCACCCGCACCTGCGATCATGTCATATTCCAAACTGCATCCGCTCGCATTGTGTCTGCGAAACAACCCATTTGTATGCGGATCGATTCAGGTTGGCGGGATTGTGCGGTTCAGATAACCCTTTGCCCTGCCCTAATGGAGGAGGACTACAAAAAACTATACTTAAATGTAGGGATGTAAAAAAAAAATCGAAAAAATTGACCAAACCAATTGAACTTGACCGAAATAGCCATATTTGGTCTGTTTTTTTAATAAGAATCAGTCTATACGATTTTTTAATTTGATTTTTTTCGATTTTCTGTTCGGTATTGAATTAAGCACCTTATGCACCAAACTAAACTGAAACCGACTGCTTCTAACATATATTGTATTTATAATACATGTAAAATTTAATAATATAATGAAATTAATAAATATAATAAATTAATCTCAATGAATTAACATTATCATTCCTATAACCTAAGTTATGATACCCTTATTATTAACTCTAACTCACTATTCTTGAAATCTTAGTATTAATTATTATTATTTTTGCTTGTGTTTTTGTTAATCTAGAAATTGTAAAGTATTTATTAAATTGATGGATTTAATAAATGGCTTAAATTTGAAAGATTATAAATTGATTAAACCACAAACCGAACAGCTTCCATTGGTGCAGTTTGATGGGAGAAGAAGTCTGTGTTGGTACTCAAAATAATAAAACCGACATTATCGGTTGAGTGGAAATTTTTTTCTAAATACCGACCGTACCAAACCGATTATATTCCCACTTGAATGTAAGATCAAATCCCTACTCAAAATGCAACTAAAACCTTCCAAGTAACACTCAATTTCAACATTGAATGTAGACCAAAATCAGCTATATTCAAACTTGCTTTTGGGTAAATTCCAAGAGATTCAAACGTATGGAGGACTTGCAAAAAACTACACTTCCAAATAGTTCCAACAAAACAAAATCAGCAAGATAGCTGAAACCCATTTTGAACCTGCAAATTTTTAGTCCAAGAGTTTTTGCTATTAATACCATTGATCAGATGGCCACCTTTCATCCGTTCTTTCGCCATAATTCTGATTCCCTCTATATTCATGCAGGTACTTGCATCGATCTCCATAATGACACCTTCCTTGAGCATAGAATCAACAAAGTTGCCTTTGGAATGGACCCTTGGTCGGACTGAAATTCATGTTTCCCTTATGGGCATGCCTTGAAGAATTAGGATTCACACTTCGTTCAGGACCTTGCCTTTGAATTGGATTCCTCAAAGGATAAGAAATCATGCTTCGCTCATGATTGTGACTTCGGAGTGGACTCATTGAACCAGGACAGGATCCAAATGGATATGGATCTTTGGATTGTATTGAACAGTACATGTTTGTCAAAGGCCTTCTTAAAGGATTATTACCATTTGTGTATTGCTCATGACTCTGCCTTTGGAATTGACAATGTGAAGGAATTGATTTCATGATTGGTTCATGATTCTGACTTTGTAATAGACTCCTTGAAGGCATACTTGTCAAATGTTGCCACTGCTGAATCCTTTGTGATGGCACATTTACAATTGGGACTCAAGTGTTGGCCTTCTTCATTTCCTTCATTTACAATTGGTTCGGGTTGTATTTGCATAAGAGAAGAAGACAATGGTGTCGTAGCTTTGTAAAATGACTACTGTTTTTAGCCTAATATTTCTGTATAGAGACGTTGAGATGACCAAGGTTGAGAATGGAATTGCAATCATGTCATCAGAGAACTATGCAAAACAAAGAATGATGGTGTGTTTTGCTGTGGAATAAAAGAAATGACAGAATATTCAAATTCCATCTTCCACTCACAGCTGCTAGTTTTGGAAATGGAAAGGCATGAGAAAGTAGAAAAAGAAAAGGACACTTGGGTCATAGGTCCACTGTGAATATTAGGTACTCTGTTCTGTTCATTTTTTACGTATCTATTCACATCAACTATCTGTCCACCTCACTTATTTAAGTGTCATTTATTTGTCTACCTTTTTGCCCATGTATCACCTCTTATTTGTTCATGTGTCATTTATTGTTTACTTAATTTATCTATTTGTCTATGTCACTACCACCACCACCGCTGCCGGCAACCACCACATGCTGCTGTTGGTCACCAGTCACCTCCGGTGTTTTTCCAACAACCGGCCAACAGTGAAGTAAAATTGAAAAAAAAATATCCTTGAAAATAATAATTTATCTTTTTCACCAAATAATTTCATTAAACATGTTTTTATTACCCAAGCTGAATAAAAAAAATGTTCTTATTACCCAAAAAGATTAAATCTTAGACCAAATAACATATGATCCAATGGGTGTGGATTTTTCACCAATTATCCCAAAAGAAAATGAAGTGAGAAAAGCCAAATTCCGTTCTGTTTGAGTCTGGAAAATTAGAAGAAAATAACTAGGTATTCGTCAAAACTTCTTTACATTCTCAATGTAAGAACACAATCATCACAGAACTACATAAGTATGAACACATGTAAACGGTAAATAATATCAAAATAGAAAAAATAGAAAAAATGAGAGAGAATTCTAGCAAATAATATAATGCATGATGGTTAATCTTAATCATCCATAATGAAACCGACTCAAATACGTGATTTGAAAACTAAAGCCAACAATTGAGTCCGTCAAGTTCTCTCCTCACAAGACTTTTGATGATATCGTTCACGGTAGGGCAGCCAGACAGGGCTATGGTGAGCTCCAACTCATCCTTCAGCATTTCAATCACTCGTCGCACCCCATATTCTCCCTTTGCTGCCAATCCATAGATCACTGGCCTTCCAACCTGCACCAGCATAGATATATTGCAAATTTGGAATCAACAAATGAGAAGAGACAATAAGCAAAAGAGCAGACATATCTAGCATCAATGATCACACAAATTATATCAGTATATCCCACATGTAAACTGGTACACCACCAAGCTCTGCTGCTTTTTAACCTTAATTGTTCGTTTGAAACATATTCAAAAGTCTAAAGCACTTCCCATGGTGAAATATGAAACAAACAATTTGGTTCGGAGGCACTGAAAGTCTCTGATATTTTAAGCACCAAAATTAGAGGATTACAAAGCTAAAATTCCACTCGAGCCCCCAAAGATGAAGTACATGAACAGTTTGATATCATCAGAGTTTGCATTGGAACACATTTAAACCCTTCCGAGAAAAGAGGTGCACAAAAATGGCATGATATTCAACTAAAACACACTGAAAAAAGGCACAACATAAAACTAATACATAGGAAAATTTCGAAAGTTCATGGTCAGAGTTTAACATTACAGCTTGCATGCCAAAAGCGAGTACCTTGGAAATATCAGTACCCCGCCTCACTCCTCCATCAAAGAGAACATGATTTTTTCCTCCAACAGCACGAACCACCTGCAACCCACAATATAATGCTCACTTTTTTAAATCAAGAAACATGCCTAATAGAAGAAATAATTTGCAAGACCATGGAACAATATTGTTTGCTTTCAAGCTCTTGCAGGTTCTAGGGGGGGGAAAAAAAAAAAAACTACATAGAGCACGCTGCTGAACTCTTATAATCCATAGCTATGCATTTGAAGAATTCTATCGAACATAAATTCTACTTTTCTATCTCTTGGCTTAATTAGGCTAGCTAACGTCAAGTATAACAAGACGAAACTGAAAGTTAACTCTTCCAGAACAGTGATAGTGGCTGGAGAATAATCTAGCTGGCAAGCTCCATGATAAAAGACAACAATCCCATCAACCCTTACTTCCATGACTTTTATTGTTGCCAATAGTAGCATACCAGATCATCAGCAATTTTTGACTGTCATGGTAAACATGAAGTAGAAAACGAAAGGTATTCAAGACCTAAATATCTCCAAACTATTCAGAGCATGAAACCAGAGAAAATTTTAAATGGATTTGTTGGAGTAAACATATTATCCAAAGATTCCTTCTATCAAGAAACCTCAAAACAAGAAATTGTCTTTGAACTAATGGTTTTTGTTTTATGATCATTTATATTGATCTTGAAAAACAATAAAAACTTCCTTTGATTTTTCAACTCTGTGAGAAGGTTCTGTTATTTATAAAGTAGAAAGATACAAACATCTAAACATAGTTATCAGCTTATCATCCTCAAGAGTCAGCATCCCTTTGATTAGAATTGGCAAACTCGTTAAAGATCTTAACCACTCTATGTCCTGCAAGTTTGAATGAGCTTAATCAAAGTAAGATTAACATAAAGGAAGTCATCTTATGACCTTTGTGTTTACTATTTAAAAGTTAAAAACTTTTTAACTATGAGATCACACCAACATATAAATTGAGTAAAATATGAGAGTTGACTGCTTTTGGGTCCAAATTAACTGTGAAACCAAATTTTCAATAACAACATGTAGGTTATTGCTTTATACCTTCCAAGACAGAGAAGCATCGAGCATCCCCGTTGCAATGGCTTCAAGGCATGAGCCCTTATCCTGCAAAAGTGAGTGGTCAATGTTATTAATCTACAAAAATATAAATTTTACATGAGCGCCTCAATGTAATCTTCATCTTTTCATTATTGGCATTGATTCGAACCACATTTGCAGCCATATACATACACATGCACAATTTGAGAAGGCAAATTATCACTTTCACAAAAGGTCTCTCTAATCATCAAACTATCAAGAGTCACACAGATTAAACCCAAGGTAAGATTTCAAATTACAAATTAAATATGATTCACTTTTATTTTTAGTTTTTGGGAAGAGCGATCATGAATATACGCATCCCAAAACACGTGGTCAAAAACCAAATTGTAGAGACCTTCACAGTTCTTCAACTGAGGCACAATCCTTCTGTATGGAATGATCGTGTTTGGATTAGAATCATGATGCATGGGGAAAAATTCTTATAATGTTAGATACTAAATATCAAACCGTTTCCAAATATAAGGGTGATAAAAGGTTACAAAATGTGAAGGACATTGAAGAGAAAGTAATAAAATTTCACTTATTCATTATGTCTGCCTCTCTTCAACCAAGCCTAGGAGCATCAACAGTAAGAATAATAGCCTTGAAACCATTTTGCTCGGCTCTTTGCACTAACAGAGCTATCACATTCCTTCTTTTAAATACCTATAAACAAAGGATTACCAAACTGTAAATTCAGCTAGTACAAATGGGATCACAATAAAGAAAATATTAAATGGTGCTTCTAAAGAACGATGAAGGTTCCTATGAACAAACTTGAATTTAATAGAGCCAAGATAGTAGAATATCTGTATTTGAAAAAAAGCGAACAGCGTTGCAGCTTGAAGCAACCTCCACCACAGTACAGGTATGAGGGACAACTCAGTATTCAAGGAAAAAAAGTAAACAAAGGAGCTCCAGATTCAAGAATCAATACCATGAGGTGAAGCTGCTGCTCGGGTTGTCGCGATCTCTCCTGGTACAGAAAAAGCTGATAGCAGAACTACACAAAAATTTCACTCGAAAGCTCTTGTAACTGAATTTAGACCTTCAGGATGAGCCAATTTATGCATTGCAGCTGGAGCAATCATGATTGGTGCCGAAGTATGGTAACCAAATATAGTAGTTGACATATCTATTCTGCTCACATCTACAAGAATTCTCAACAAAGTACTGAGAAAGTTCAAAGAAAGGTGATTTAAAATGGTGTGGTTGTTTGCTGATAGGAATAAGAGGTGTTACACTTAAAGATGATTCTGCAAAATGCTTCCACATTCATTCTTAGCGTGTGTTTGTCCTCAGCTCTGCCCATTGTAGAAGTCAAAGTACATGTTTGGAAGGGCTTGCCTTGCCAGTTCCTGGAACTCATTCACATTGACTGGTTCAGATGCCATTTATCCTGAAAACACAGCCATTAGTTAATATTAACATTCCAGTAACCTAGTCCATATTACAATAATTTAATTATGAAATAATCCAATGCCAAACTTGAGAGACTTGATAGATAGAAAGTCAATACAATTACTAAGATTTGATGACACAAAAAAGGGCACTACATACCAGTGGCTGACAATTCAAACAATAATCCAAACTAAACTAAGTCGTATTGTGTCTAAATCAACTAGTGTCGACTACTACATAAATCATTTTTCTCCAATCTGCCCTATCAAGGGCCAGTTAATCAAGTAAAATGTTTGTTTGGGTCAAGAAAAAAAAATTCAACTGAAAACATTTTTCACAGTTAACGAAAAACAAGCCAAGCAGAAAATGTTTTTTACTTTCAAATGTAGAAAATATTTTTCGAACTAAAGTTTAACCAATATCCCACACTACGACTGCCACCATCACCTCCACGATCACTGTCACCATCACTGTCAACATCACCACCTCCGCCACCCCACCACCCCACCACCACGCCACCACCTCCACCTTCATCCCGCCACCTCCATCTTATGTTCCGGAAAACATATTCTGAAAGAAAAAAATAAAAATAAAAAATAAATAAATAAATAAAAATCGTAGAATATGTTATCCATTATAAAATGTTTTTCGTCAAACAAACTGAGTGCAAATTAAAATGAGAAAGATTGATTGATTTCGATAAAACTGAACACCATGCTTACAATAATTTAAAAAAACAAGTCCAGTTTGCAGATGGATAAAAAGGAGATTAACTCCACATACAAAAACAGCACATCATTTTGATGATTAGACGAGCATTAACTAAGATAATCTTCGTACTAAAACATAAATATGTGGAAAATGCTAGGAACCCAAATATTTTACTAACGTTTCTACCAAATGTCTTACATAAGTGTTAGACGCACATCATGTGAGTTCGAAATATTTGATAAAAATGTTGATAAAACATTTGGTATTTCTAACATTACTGTTAAAATTCACCTACTACACACCTACCACTACCACCTACTACACACTCACCTACTTCACCTACTCTCCACCTACTCCTCACCTACTACACACTCACCTATTCTCTTCCCACATCCTCTCTTCTATATATAGGAATCATTGTAATATATCAAAACAATAAATCAATAATACATAAATTTTAACTATTACTCTAAATATATAGCGTCAAAGAAAATAAATTGAACATTTCAATGGAAAATCTGCACTACTTTAACGGGATTCCAAATAAATAATGTGCGGAGTTATTATAGTACCTGAACGAGTTGATTAAACTGACTTGAATGTGTGCAGTTCAAAATAGAAAGTAGAAACACTACAAAATGAATTTTGTCTACTTAAAAAATGTAGGGTAAATTGCATTGACACCCCTGAGGTTTATATTTATTACAGTTTCGCTCTCACTTTTTGAAAATTACATCCCCTCCCTGAGGTTTAAAGTTTTATCACAGATTGCTCCTTGAGGTTTAAAGTTTCATAACAATTCCCCTCTCACCGTAATGATCATCATACATAAAATTAAATTAACAAGGGAGGGCAGTGTAATTTCCCAAATGTGAGGAGGAAACTGTAATAAATATAAATCTCAGGGGGTGTCAGTGTAATTTACCCAAAAATGTAATTATTATTATTTTTTACATATATTTTTGTGCTTGTATCTTAGATTTGAATCGCAATTTACGGAGGAAAAAAATAGAGGAAAAATTACAAAAAGAAAAAAAGTGAAAAGGCCTTTCATGTTATATAGAAGGGCAAAAGTGAAATTTTGTAATGATTATTAGCTCTGTTAATTTTGCTGTTACTCTATAGACTTTATACCAAAATTATGGAATTATTTATATTTTATTCAAATCTCAAAGGAGGTTACTATAATTTACTCGTATGATTGTCATTTGGGATTAATTATAAATATAAAAAACTTCATCAAATTAGATAATTGTAGTGTAGATGCCCAACAATTATCATAGAAAAGGGCCCAAAATTAGAATTGTAAACTAGTAATAAATTGTTTAAGATTAAAAACTTAATAGTTAAAAAATGTATTTAAACATGACTTATTTACCTAATGAACTGATTTAAAAAAACAATTAATATGAGACGAACATGAGTTGAGCTCAAATAATTATTTATTTATTTATTTACGGGAGAGGCTTCTCTCCAGTTCAAATAGGACCGGAGAGAGCTGTTGGGCCTTTGTGGGCCCACCACGGAGGCCGCGTCGATGATCCGGACCGTTGAATGTGTAGAACTTGTCGAATATTTCATTCTTACAAAAAATCACGTTAATCGGATATCTATAGCTACTTGATCAGTTTACATTTGTGTTAACGGTAAACATAATTTTAAAAATAAAATGTTAACACAAATGTAATTTAATCAAGTGGCTATCGATATTTGATTAATGTGATTTTTTACAGGGATGAAAAAATCGATGCGCTTTACATATTGAACGGTTCGAAACATCGATGCGGCCTTCGTGGTAGGCCTAAAAAAGCCCAACCCAAGCCTCTTTTTTTTTATAATGCATATAAACTAGGATCTCTTTTAGGATGAACTAAAAAAACCATCTTATTGGCTCAAATCTTTACTTTTTTATACATCTTTTCATAATAAACAAAAAAAAGGTTAACTTTATAAGGCATACCTAAAACAATTTTAATTAAACCAAGTAGCGAATTAAGTAAAACTGAGTTTATAGAAAGACATTAATGCTGCGTTTGGTTGGGAGATTTAAGGAGGGATTTGGAAAGGGAAAGGGAAAGGAAAAAGGTGTGTGAAACTAGGTGAAATGTAGGTATATTTTATTCACATTTCACCTAACTTTTCCCTTTCCTTTTTAAAATCCCTCCTCAAATCCCCCAACCAAACATAGCGTAAGGCACTTAAGAGGGCAATCATTGTGTAGATCCCACTTTGTTGTGAAAGTGCTTTGGAAGAAGAGTATACTATGTTCCAAGACATGACTAGTTAGGGTATTAGTGTTTTCTGGTTACCACAGTGTGCACACACGATATGCACTTGAGAACCCACAAATATCTTATGTTATCAAGTGTCATAGATGCTTCACAACATTACCAATAATTAAAGGGAAAGCAAAATAGTCAAATTAGGAAAATATACGAGGGGAGAAGGATTCTAAACACAATATAGATCCAACATAAATTATATGCAAATCCGCCATGTCCCACATGATATTGTTACTATAAAATCATAGAAGGGCATGTATTTGAATTCAATTTGTTAGCATATCTGCTATGAAGCACCGACACGTTCCCAGGCTCTGCGTAGGAGTGTCAAACACGTGTCGGACACGGACACGCGTCGAACACGCGGTAGACACGTGTCCGACACTCTCTCTAACGTGTCTCCTTTTTTTTTTTGAAATCTTCTAGTCGGACATGCCATGGACACGGCGGGACACTTTTCGGACACTTGTGAGGTGGATCGAAGAAGCCCTAACTGTTTTCCTTGATCGACAGAGAAAGAGAGAAAGGGATCGAGGGAGACAGAGAAAGAGAGAAAGAGATCGAGGGAGACAGAGAAAGAGAGAGATCGAAGGAGGAGAGAAGATAGAGAAAGAGAGAAAGAGATCGAGGGAGAGGAGAAGCCTAACCTGTTCAGATCAATCCAAGAAGCTAAAGTTGAGGTATTCTTCTTCTTCTTCTCTTCTTCTCCTTCTTCTCTTCGTTTTCGTCTTCTCTGTCTCTATCATCTCTGTTCTTCTTCTCCTCTCCACTTTCTTCCTTTCCTCCTCCCTTGCGCCTCTCCCTTTTCTGACTCTCTCTCCCTTTGCTTTTTGACTTCACTCTCTCTCTCTCCTCTATCGTTTCTTTTTTATATTTTTTTTCTTCTCTTTTTTCTTGATTCAACGTTTCTCTCTCCCCCTCCTTTTTTTTTCTTTTTTCTTTATCCTTATTTTTATGTTAAACTTAAAATTCATAAAATAAATTATTTTTATTTAAAAAAACTCATTTTTTATTAATTTTTAAAAAATATATATTTATTAATTTTATTATTATTTTGATTATATAAGAATTAATGATTTTATTTTTATTTTAGATATATAATAAATAAATAAAATTATATATATTAAACGTGTCCTCAGCGTGTCGTGTCCCCTATTTTTTGAAAAATTGCGTTTTCACGTGTCCGTGTCCGTGTCCGTGTCCGTGCTACATAGCATGTCTGCATAGGACAACATCAAGTATGAAGAGAAGAGATTGAAGGATACCTCTTCCAGAACAGTGATAGTGGCTGGAGAATAATCCAGTTGGCGAGCTCCGTGGTTAGAGACAACAATCCCAGCAACCCCTACTTCCATAGCTTTTATTGCTGCCAAGAGTAGCATACCAGATCATCAGCAATTTTTGTTTCTCACAAATAAACATTAGTAGAAAACAAGAAATATTCAAGACCTATGAAACAAGAAAATTATAAATGGGTTTGCTAAAGCTCATATTATCCAAAAATATAGGGGTCCTATATAGCTATTCCTTCTAGAAATAAACATAAAAACAAGAAATTCTTCAAATTTAATGGTTTTTTGTTTTGTGGCCCTTACATTAAAAAAAAAAAAAAAAAAAAAAAAAAAAAAAAAAAAAAAACTTTGATTGATCTTTCAGCTCCTGTGAAGAGGTTCTTGTGAGAATATATTGTGAGTCTTACAAATTAAACTTAGAGTCCTATTAGAGGCATGATTGTATTAGAGTCATGATAATATTGTATTTGTATTTCCTTTTTGGTTTAGGAGTTAGGACTATATATATTCTAAGGTCTGATTGTAATTGATACACATTGAATATATGAGATACAGAAAGCTATTCAGAAATCTTACATGGTATCAGAGCCTTGTTCGGAACCCTAAGTCCACGCCTGTTGTTTGAAGTTGTCGCCGATTGTTCGAAGTCGTCTCTGTTCTTTGGTCTTCTTCACAGTCGCGACTTAGGGTTCATGGGTCTCTCTAGTTCGTGGGTCGCGTCTTCAGTCATCATCAGCAACTTGAGATCAGCTTCAGCCCGTGCTTCGTCGTAACTCAGTTCTGGTCCTTTTGGTTCGCGAACTCAGTCCCTCTGATTCGCGAACGTCATCACCGTGCTTCTGATTCAAGTCCCGATCATCTTCCGCCGTCATCCACAGCCATCGCGACTCACCTCGCGATCGTCTCCAGCCATCACGACTCCGTCCTGTCTTTTGAATCTTCTCTGGTTCGTGATCTGTCATTGGACTCGTGAAGTTGAGTCGCTGCCATTGCTAGACTCGCGAGGTTGGGTCATAGCGACATCAAGCTGCCTTCTCTCTCTGTTTCGACTGGTCCAGTTCTCTCTCTCTCTCTCTCTCTCTCTCTCTGTTATTTGATCATCTAGTGGTATAAATATATACCTCTCATATAAACTCTAGTCCCTCTGGTTCGCGAACGTCATCACCGTGCTTCTGATTCAAGTCGCGATCATCCTCCGCCGTCGTCCACAGCCATCGCGACTCACCTCGCGATCGTCTCCAGCCATCACGACTCCGTCTTGTCTTTTGAATCTTCTCTGGTTCATGATCTGTCATTGGACTCGTGAAGTTGAGTCGCTGCCATTGCTAGACTCGCGAGGTTGGGTCATAGCGACATCAAGCTGCCTTCTCTCTCTGTTTCGACTGGTCCAGTTCTCTCTCTCTCTCTCTCTCTCTCTCTCTGTTATTTGATCATCTGGTGGTATAAATATATACCTCTCATATAAACTCTTTTTATTAAAATAAAAAAAATAAAAATAAAAAATAAAAAAAATGGACTCTTCTTTGGCCACTCAGTTATCTGTTATTGCATTTTAACCCTACAAAATTTTGGGTACACTTGAACCCCTTAGTTTTCTAGTTATTATGATGTCTCTGGCTTCGGATGAATGTGCCTACTGCCATCAAAGAGGTCATTGGAAGTATCATTGTCCCAAGAAGGGATGCTCGTCTGCTTTGTCTGTGTTTGCCTCGTCTTCTAAGCAATTTCCGATTAAGTTCTGCGCTTCTCCTCTAAGTACCGTTCGGCCTCCCACCGATTCTACTGTATCTGCTCCGGCTCCTGATCCTAACTTAGCTTCCTCGACTGCTCAGATTAGTCAGTTTCAATATACATTGTATACCTCCCAGCCATCTATGTCTGCCTCCATTATTTCCCCTCTTCATTCAGGTTTGCTTGGGTCTTCTTCAGGTATTTCTTCGTCTGTCTGGCTTTTTGACTCTGGTGTCTCTCATCATATGACTCCCCATCTCTCCTTACTTCAAAATTGCACTCCTCTTCCTTCTCCTATTACTGTCAATGCTGCTAATGGGAGTTGGTTCCTTTGCCTGCTGATAAGAACTTGGCTGGTTGCAAATAGGTCTACAAAGTCAAGACTCATTCTGATGGGTCTCTTGAGCGCTACAAAGCTCGTCTGGTTGCTAAAGGTTTCTCTCAGGAGTATTGTATTGATTATAAGGAAACATTTGCTCCTGTTGCCAAGATGACTACTGTCTGTACTTTGATCTCTATCGCTGCTATTCGTTCTTGGCCTCTTTTTTAGATGGATGTTAAGAATGCTTTTCTTAATGGCCATCTCACTGAGGAGGTTTACATGCGTCCTCCTCCTGGTCTTCCCCATTCCTCTGGCCAAGTTTGTCATCTTCGGCGTGCTCTGTATGGTCTGAAGCAGACTCCTCGTGCTTGGTATGATCGCTTTCAGACTGCTGTTACCGAGCTTGGGTTTCATTGTTCTGCTTCCGACTCTACTTTATTTCTGAGACATACATCGGCTGGTTTTGTTGCTCTCTTACTCTATGTGGATGATATGATCATCATTGGCTCTGACTCTTCTGCTATCTCTGAGGTCAAGCAGCATTTCTTCCTCACCTTCGAAATGAAAGATCTGGGTCCATTACGGTATTTTCTTGGTATTGAGGTTGCTTCTTCTCCAAAGGGCTATTTTCCGTCTCAAGCTAAGTATGCTAATGAAGTCATTCACCGTGCTGGTCTTACCGATACTAAGATTTTCGATACACCTATTGAGCTTAATGTGAAGCTTAATTCTACTGATGGTGTCCCTCTGGATGATCCTACTTTATATCGCGAGCTTGTAGGTTGTTTAGTTTATCTGACGGTCACTCACCCTGATCTTGCTTATGTTGTTCATGTGGTTAGTCATTTCGTTTCTACTCCTCGTTCTACCCATTGAGCTGCTTTGGTTCGCATTCTTCGCTATCTCAGGGGTACCATATTTCAAGGCTTACTAATGTCCTCTACTTCCTCTTTGGACCTGGTGGCCTATGCTAACTCTGATTGAGTTGGTGATGTTACTAATCACAAGTCTACATCTGATTTCTGTATATTTCTTGGTGATTCCTTGATCTCTTGGAAAAGTAAGAAACAATCAGTCATTGCCCGCTCTATTGCCGAAGCTGAGTATCGTGCTATGACTTATGCCACTGCTGAGATTGTTTGGCTTCGTTGTCTTTTGTCTGATTTGGGTGTCTCTCAGTCTTCTCCGACCTCTCTCTATTGTGACAACCGCAGTGCTGTTCAGATTGCCCACAATACTATCTTCCATGAGCGGACAAAACACATTGAGATTGATTGTCACTTTGTTCGCCAACATCTGCAGTCTGCCTCTATCTCGCTTCCTTTCATCTCTTCAGCTTTGCAACTTGCGGACTTCTTCACCAAGACTCACACTACTGCTCGGTTTCAGTTTCTTCTTAGCAAACTCTCTGTGTTTTCTGCTAAAACACCTTGAGTTTGAGCGAGGGTGTGAGAATATATTGTGAAATATATTGTGAGTCTTACAAATTAAACTTTGAGTCCTATTAGAGGCATGATTGTATTAGAATCATGATAGTATTGTATTTGTATTTCCTTTTTGGTTTAGGAGTTAGAGCTATATATATTCTAAGGTCTTATTGTAATTGATACACATTGAATATATGAGATACAGAAAGCTATTCAGAAATCTTACAGTTCTCTCATTTATAAAGTCAAAAAGAAAAATTAGAGAGATACAAACATCTAAACAGAGTCATGAGCTTACCATCCTCAGCAGTGAGGACCCCTTTGACTAGAATTGGCAAATTAGTGACTGACTTTAACCAGTCTATGTCCTGCAAAGTTTTGAGTAAGATTTAACATAAAGGTAATTAATTTATGACCTTGATGACTTTTGTATTTACCATCCAAAAAATCAATTATTTTAAATATGCAACCACACCAACAGAAATATTTTTGGCGGTGGCTTTCAGCTCCATCAACTGTGTGAACTTGTGAGAGACCTCAAATGACTTCAAATGACCAATTTGGTCCCTATAGTTCCAAATGACTAAAACACAGACAAATTATTGTAGTAGCCCCTATAATTCCAATTGATAACTGTAGACTATTTTTGACAAAAATGGGACCAAATTGACACAACGGGCAAACTACATGGACCAGCTGTGTAATTAAATTTTTGTTCATTTTTCCATTTTGCCTATGAAGAATGGGCACATGCAGAGCATGTGGGCTATCTTCTGTCAAAAAATCTTGACCATCATTACCAACTGGACCAATTAGATGCAAAATGGAAAATTAAAAGATGAAATTGTTGCAATTGAAACTACATAGATTAAATTGTCACAAGGCGTAAACTATAGGGACTAGTATTGTAATTTGTCCCTAAAACATATGACTACTACAATAATATTCATATATATATATAGCAGTACAATTAAAACAGCTTTTCAAATAATGTTTCTAAGCAAAGGAAATGTTTGGCTCAAGAGCATATGAAGTCAAATTATCAGTTAACATGCATAGATTATTGCTCTATGGTTTATACCTTCCAACACAGAGAAGGATCAAGCGTCTCTGCTGCAAAAGCTGCAAGCTTTGAGCCGTTATCCTGCAAAATGAGTAATCCATGTTAGAGTTGTAAATCTTGTATCAGACTGGTTACAGTTAGTATTAGAGAAATATGCATCCATGTATCATACAACTAACACAAAAAACAAACTAATACACTGTCTGCAAGCATGTTTAAATGCATATATTAGGAAACAAATAACTCACCGAAACTGCTTCAGTTGACAAGAGACCTTCTAAGTTCTTCTGCTGAGGCGCAATCATTCTGAACAAGTGATTGTGTTTGGATCATTAACGTGATGCATGGGGAAAAGTTCATTTAATTATAGATAATAAATATCAGTGAATTTCCAAATATTGGAGGGAGAAAATTATTCATTAATGTGAAGAACATTGCAGGTATTAGTAGCGGAAATTATATGAAAGAGAAGGAAATGAAATTTCACTTGTTCTTAATGTCTGCTTCCCTACGACCAAGCCTAGGAGTATCAACAGTAAGCATAATAGCCTTGAACCCATTTCTTTCGGCTCTTTGCACTAACACAACTGTTACATCCCTTCTTTTACATACCTATGAACAGAGGATTACCAAACTGTGAATCCTAAAGAACGATAAAGATTCCTATGAAGAAACTTAAATTTACTAGAGCTGAAGAGAGTAGAATACATATGTTTGAAAAAAGCGAATGGCATTGAAACTGGAAGCAACCTCCTCCACGGTGCAGTCGGCCGCAAAGGACATTGCCTGTAATGAGGGACAGCTCAGCAATCAACGATGCAAAGTAAAAAAGAACTAGAGTATGAGAGTATCAATACCATGATGGTGTTACATGCAGCAGCTGCTCTGGCTGTCGCAACCTCTCCTGATAAAAAATATTTTTAAAAAAATTAAAAAATTCAAAGCTGAAATCATAAGTACACATAAATTCCACTCAAAATCTCTTCTAAATGAAATTAGACCTTCAGGATGAGCCAACTTATGCAATCCAGTTGGAGCGATCATGATTGGTGCCGAAGTTGGGTAACCCAATATAGTGGTTGACATATCTATTCTGCTCACATCTACAAGAACTCTTGGCCGAAAACTGAGAAAATCCCAAAAAAAAATAAAAATAAAAAATTGGCTTAAGTTGGTGTCCCTGTTTGCTAATAAGAATAAGAGGTGTGACAACATTTAACGTGATTCTAAGGAACGCTTCCGTGTTCTCTCTTAGCGTGTGTTGGTCCTCAGCTCCCCCATTGTAGAAGTCAAAGTACATCTTCAGAAGAGCTCGCCTTGCCAATTCCTGGAACTCATTCACATTGACCGGTTCTGATGCCATTTTTCTTGAAAACACTGCCCCATTAGCTGACTCTAACATTCCAGTAATAAGTAACCCAGTACATAGTACAATTATTTAAAAATCAATTAATTAAATACTAAACTTGAGAGCCTTAATGGAGAGAGAGTCAATATGGTTACCAAAATTTGCAAATCCTTCCCATCATTTCCAAATTTTCCATCCATTTGTAGGTTTAGTATAATTACTGGAGACTGCATTTGGATCATTAATTTGGGTAGGAATTTGGAAAGAGAGAAGGAAAATGTACATGAAAGGTTGGTAAAATATAGCTATATTTCATTGACATTTCACTCATATTTTTCTTTTTCCCTTTCAAATCCATGATCCAAATACATATTTCATCCACATTTCACACACTCTTTTCTCTCTTTCCAAATCCCTACCCCTATCATGATCCAAACAAAGCCGAAATATATCAAGTTCTTAGAATAAACTGATTACTGTAGGGAGCCGCTATGCCCACCCCACTTTGCTCCAAATACACTCCTTTCTTTGTCTTTTATTATACATAGTTACATTAATACACTTTCACACAAAATAAACTCCCTGAAAAAATCAAAATTCCAAGGGTATTAATGTATTTGGAGCAAATAAGAGAGTGTATTTAGAACAAAGTGAAGTGGGAATAGTGGCTCCCATACTATATTGGACCATTAAATACTCACAAGATTTCAACATGTTATTTGGATTCAATGTGTAAATAATTCTTCAATTAAAAAAATAAAAAGAATTACACATACCGGTACCTGGCAATTCAAACAATCTCACAAAAATATATATAAAAGGAAAAAAAAATTTAAAAATATCTACAACTATAAAAGCATGAATCTGTTTAACATCTCCATTTATGGGAAAGAGATTAGTACCAAACTAAAAGGGCTTCAATTTGAAAATGAAAAGGTAATAATTAAAATAGAAAAAATTGACCCAATACAATAGAATTGAACTGCAAGCTTATAATCATATAAAAACAGCAGATCGTTTGATGATTAGATGAGTATATTAACTAAGTTAATCTTGGTACTAATCTGCAAACAATTTGAATAATTTCAATGGAAAATCTGCACTGGGTTGACTGAATTCCAAGTAAATAATTGCTATGTCTATACAAATAAATACATGATTTTGTGGGGGGAATTGAAATTAGTACCTGAACGTGTTTGAATAGAACTGATCGTGACTGAAATCAGAGTAAAAACACTGCAAAAACAGAGAGAGACAGAGAGAGCTCACCAGAAAGCAGAGGTGGAGTGGAGGTAGTGCTCGGTACTAGCCTACACAAAATACTGCCTAATCCATTCAAATCGTATCGATTAATATGAATCCTTCTGCTAATTAGGGTTGTTTGGGATGACTAAAAGTGTATTTTTTGTCTTTTTATGAGAAGATGTGTAGAAAAATAGAGAATTGATGTGATGAAAAAAAATAAAAAAGATACAAAGATAAATTTTTTGTGTATGTCAAACTTGGCCTTAAGATGAATTTGAATCACGATTTAAAATTTAAAATTTGTGTTTAAAATTGTCCCGCTCTATATTTTTTTACCTTTAATAAAACATTAAAACAAAAATAAATACGAAAGATTTAAATTTGTTATAAATTAATATTATATATATATATATATATGAAAATTATTATATAAAATTAAGAGAAAATTAGTCTAGGGTCCCTCTCCCACTTTTCGTAATGGAAGAGATCCACAAAATTATTTTTTGATGTCTAAAGTCCCTAAACATATCACACAGAAATTTGACCTTACCAAATCAAAACTCATCTCTCTCTCTCTCTAAACTTCTCCATTCTCATATCTGTCCAAATCAACTCTTGTTCCTCACCCCTGACTTCATTCTCCAGCCGATTAAGCTCTACCCCTGACTTCATTCTGCGGAGCTCGAAAGCTCCACCGTGGCCGCCATTTTGACTGTGAAAAGCCACCGACACATTCGAAGAAGCCCAGAAAACGTATGTGGTGTTTCAGCCTCCTCATCACCACAACAACTACAATGATGACGATGACTTCCAAGATTCCTACAGATCATCTCTACGACCTAAACCCCGGCCACAATCTCAGCCTCTGAAACCCTCCCATTCCGCTAATACTATTTGTCCATCTAAGCGACCCAAACTCCCATTGGGATTGGGATCCTCTTTTCCCTCAAAACCTACAACAACTTCCCATCATTTTGAACCAGATTTCACTACCAACTATGTTTTTCCTTCCCAAGAAGAGGATTGCTCCTTGGATTCCATCGAGTCAATCCTAGGTTGCGGGAATCCTCCTCAAAATACTGTTGTTTCCATAGCTCGGGATTCTGCTTTTTCGGACCTAAATTGGAAAGGGGGTTATTCATCAAATTCATTGGAGTCTAGGTTACTCACCTCTATAATCAATCCTGCTCCCTCTGATTATTCTGATACACACAAACTGGTTCTTATATACACATCAAACCCAGAGAAAATTCAAATTTGTTCATTTTGACCAATTTTCTCTAGGTTTTTAAATTTCTCTCGATTTAAATTTCTCTGGAGTGTTGAAAGGCAGAGAAATTTCTTTGGGAGAGTGGAAAGTATATGGAAGGTAGAGAAATTTGGAGAAGGTGAGGGTAGAGAAATTTACAGTAGGAAATTTCTCTGTGACGTGAATTTTCTCTGGACTAATTTTCTCTGGACCAATTTTCTCTGGATCAACTTGAGAGACCTTAGACATTATGAAAATATTGAGTGTCCTTTATGCTGTAAAATCTTAATACCAGGGACCTTAAAAAAAAATTTCCTAAAATTAATTAATATTATATATTTATATATATAAAATATTATGTAAATTATGTAAATACAAAATTATTCTTTAATCAACTAATAAATTAAAATGATACGATTTAATTATTTATTAAATCTTTATTCACAATTTAATTATAATTTTACTTCAAACCATATCGAATCATACCATGCATGAAACCGTCGTTTTGCAGAAGGATTGGCTTTGGTTGCATTGTATTATTAGCAACAGCATGGTTCCACTGGAAAATATGTGATAACCTTTCTTGAATATGAATGAGAAATGGTTATTTTGAAAACATGATTGAAAGTTAATTTTAGTTTTTTAATTTATTTTGTGTCATATTATTTTTTACATATTTTTTTTAAAAAGAGTTAAAAGTGTTAAAAAATCAACTTTTAACTAATTTCTCAAAATAATCCAAAATATTGCAATGTCACTGATAAGAAAAAAAAAATGTTTAATAATTGATATAAAATATTTATTATCAATTGACTCACGTTGGTGATTTGAAAAGTTAGTCAAAATCGCTTTTTAGTTTTTTTAATTTTTTTGTCTTTTTATGAATAAAAAATATAAGAGATGATGTGACTTAAAATAAATTAAAAACTAAAAGTTAACTTTTTACTAACTTTCTAAAATACCATGCTATTATAAATATTTCATAATTAATGAGTTTGTATCTCATTAAATTTTACCACTTTTTGGTAGGAAGACATTTTTTATTATTTCTCATCAAATTTATAAATCAAACATGAGGAAAAAATATTCAGTGTGTTTGGTTTGACTTTTTTGAATTAAATTTTTTCAAAATTGAGTTTTTTGGTTTTTATATTTTTTTGTTTTTAGTGAATATTTTTAAAATTTTAAACTTTTTTTTACTTTTTTAGATGTACCTTACTTAGATGTATCTAAAAAGTAAAAAAATTATGAAAAAATATTTTTAAAAAATTAATAAATACATAAAAATACAAAAAAATATACTGAATTTTTATATTTTTTATATTTAGTGAATTTTTAAAAGATTTTTTTACAATATTTTTACTTTTTAGGTGTATTTATGTTAGGTGTGCCTAAAAAATAAAAAATTACTTAAAATATTAAAAAAATTTAATAAAAACAAAAAAACACAAAAAATAAGAAAATAAATTTTTTTGAAAAGTATTCTTAAAAAAATGGAACCAAGCAAGAGAAATATTTTTATCCTCATTTCCCACGAATTACGTCATCCAAATATTTTACCAAAATTCTTTATGCGCCTTCCCGTGCGATGATGTAACAAGATGGGTTCTATAATATTTTAAAAAGTATTGTTAAGGTTTGGTCTTAAGAAATTTTTTTAATATACACACCTTTAAAAGTGGTATACTATATGCACCTTTAATTATATTATTTTCTTTTTTAGTTATGATCAATATTTTTTTTTTGTAGTTATGATATTATTTTATTTATACCTCATGAGATCTTTAGTTATATCTCATATTGTATTTAGTTATAACAATTTTTTTTTTTTTAGTTGTGACTCAAAAAATATGAAATTATGCTATTTTCATATGTTACACATGTGTACCATAATGTTTTCCGTTCTTAAGATACATGTTAAATAAGTTTAACATATCAAAAATGCTAGAGACCTTAAAAGTTCTACCAAATGTCTCACATGGGTATGGAACTTACATGGGACCCACAATGTGGATCCCACACCCATATGAGACATTTGGTAAAACTTTTGATAGAATTTTTGAAATTTTTAGCATTACTCTTAAAATATTATAGTACATTCTTTTTACATTTGTTTTGATATAAAATGTACCTAACTTTTGAAGTTCTTAATCTATTAGAAGAGAATGTGTTAACAAAATTATTATAAGTCTCACATATACATAACATTAATTACAACATTAATTAGGTGAATATATAGCCGTAAAAACATATCTTTATTATTTATCACCGTGTTTGTTTTACCATTTTCTTTTATTTTTCCATATTTATTTATATTTATATTTTTAACATATGTGCTACATATAAAAAAAAATTATACAAAATGGTTCATTGGGTGTTACTCGAGTAATTCTTCATACTATTTATCAATTGACATATCTCATGTCACCTTAAAAACACCGCATAAATTTACTACTGAAGTACTCCGCATATTTACTTTAGGAGCACTTAATAGTTCTTGATGAGGTCAGGACTAAAATGCCACATAATAGACATTTGACAGCCACAAAAAGCGAACTTCAACATTGAATGTAAGATCAAACTTTCTTTTGGATAAATTCCAAGGGATTCAAACGTATGGAGGATAGGGGTAGTCGAGGTTCAATTTTGGACGATTTGTGAATTAGTTTAGATCTGTCCATATATATACGGTTTGAGAAAAATTTAACCCGTAATTGCTTGTAGTGCGGGTTGCGGTTTGTGTAGATAGGGTTCACAGATGTGCGGGTGATTTGCAAATTAGACTTTTTTTTTAAAAAAATTATTTTAGAGCTTTTTTTTTTTAATTTTGTAAATATTTATTTGGATCATTTTCCCCTCATTTTCTGAAATGTTCCAATATTAATAATTAATGAATTAAAACTTATAAAATTAAAAATACAACAAAATCAATTCCTAATACAAACAAATCATTCAAAATCCTAAACTTTTAAATTAAATCATAAACTAACACAAGCTTTCAAAATCCTAAACTAGATCATCAATTTCATTCACTAACTACTATCTAACAATACAATTAAAATAAAATTATTCAAAATCCTAATCTTACCTAAAAGTAATTCTTCATTAACTTTTACATTCATCCAAAATGCAATAATAAAATAATAATGGTCCGGGTTTTAAAAATAAAAATAATAATAAAAAAATTCTAAGACCCGCACTTGCACCTACAATCATGTCATATTACAAATTGCATCTGATCGCATTGTGTTTACGAAACAACCCATTTGTATGCGGATCAGTTCGGGTTGGAAGGATTGTGCGGTTCGGATAACCCTTTGCCTAGCCCTAATGGAGGAGGACTGTAAAAAACTATATTTGAATGTAGGGATGTAAGAACAAATCGAAAAAATTAGCCAAACCAATTGAACTTGACTGAAATAGCCATATTTGGTCTTTTTTTTTTTAATAAGAATCAATCTATACGATTTTTTAATTTGATTTTTTCTGATTTTCTGTTCGGTATCGGATTAAGCACCTTATGCACCAAACTAAACTGAAACCGACTGCTTCAACATATATTGTATTTATAATACATATAAAATTTAATAATATAATGATATTAATAAATTATTAATCTCAATTAATTAACATTAACATTCCTATAACCTAAGTTATGATACCCTTATTAACTCTAACTCACTATTCTTGAAGTCTTAGTAGTAATTTTTTTTTTTGTTTGTGTTTTTGTTAATCTAGAAATTGCAAATTATTTATTAAATTGATGGATTTAATAAATGGCTTAAATTTGAAAGATTCTAAATCAATTAAACCGCAAACTAAACAGTTTCCATTGGTG